CCCCAAAACCCCAAAACCCCATGATAGTCTATTTCTGTTGGAAATCAATTAAGTAATACAAAAATAATTAGAGTGAAATACACAATTAAGTTTAATTAAATATTATTGATCCTTTAAGGCTAGTTTATACTGAACATACTATTTAGCATTAAAGTTATTTTATTAGCGCAATGATGTAGTCCTCATTCTTCATCTCTGATTTTAATTAGAGAATTTCTAAATGATTCAAAGACCAATAGACTTGATGCACTTGTGGGAAATGCTCTCAATATCTAAATATGAATTCCTCTGTAAAGTCTAGGTAATCCATGTTTATTCAAAATTGAAGGAATAGCTACTCTCAACTTAAGCCTTTCTTTACCTTCATAAGTTTGCATTTTACTCTTAATAGTATCACAAGGGTATACAGCAAACCAGGTCATAGTCCCTGCAATGCCTCCACTCATGAATTTTCTAAAACCAACGTTGAACTTGCTATGATCAGGATCTTTCTCTAGAGTTGGTACATTCGCAGATCTCTTGAATAGCTCAAACAGGAAGAAGTATAGACCAAACCCTGGAGCATCTCTCAGAAGCATCCCAGTGTATCCTCTTGTAAATCCTTTCAACCCTTCATTCTTATATATATCTGCTATCTCTTCTCTATAAGACATAGTCTTATATTTGCTGACTTAAGCTCTGGTTTTTAATAAATCAAACACAAATGCAATATTTGTGTAGCATCTAAAAATTAATTAAATTAGACTTAATCTCAGAAACAATTTCTTACAATCCTGCAAAGAATCCTGATAAATAGTTTTTTAAGTTTATATTAATGTCTTTATCTTGCAATTATCTCCTTGAAAACCCTTGAGCAGTAAACAATCTATAGTATAAATCTGTCAATAATATGGAATTGATGTAAAAGGACAAAATCTGTCAATAATATTTACACTGCTGATATAGGTGCTCTTCCCATTACTGGAGACAACATTCCCTTGAAAAAGCCTTTAATCTTTATGAAATTATTATTTATTTTGCATTCTTACACCCTCTCTCTAATAAATGTCATGAATAGTAGGTAAAAGTCTTAGTTATTCTCCACCTTTTGCTAATTGCACTCTTATTTTAATTGTATCGAGAGGATAAGAAATGACGTTTGAGACTACTCCTGCTGTAATACCTGAGATTATATCAATATTGGCATTCGATAAGTTCTTGACCTTGTGTTTATAACGGTGCTATCTAATATAAAATATATGTATTTACTTGATTCAAGTTAGATTACGATTAATTTGATGCCTCTTGACTTATGACCATGCCTGGCGAACTATTTTATGCGGACTGAATTAAAACCATTAAAATTTTATTAAATTAATAATTAGTTTAGCCTTTGTATTTTCAATTTTAATTTCTTATACAACAATAACTTTATACAGACATCAAACAACTATAGGATTTACCAAATACTATTTATATATTTATCAGTCTTTTTTCCGGTAATAAGCCAGAATATATGCAGTTTTAGAGTAATCTTCAGGAGGGTATTCCTATGCTTACACCTAAGCGTCATCACACTTATGCCAAAGCTGATTATTCAAGTTCAGCACCTCATTCCAGTAATGCCCAGTGGCCTAATCTCCTGAATGATGAAGAACAGCATATAGCTTATATTTATTCGCTAAAAATTTTGATTGATGAGTTGATTATTTACTGCCTACAGTCAAATCACAATTTTCCAACGGAAAGCTAATAATCACATTACTTTTATAAGCAGCTCTTTTAAATCTTTAGAAATGAATGATTTAGATTATCGGGAATCTCCATATCTAAGAACTTATAGTGTGAGGTCCTTAAGTTATATAATTAGCACAGCCCTAATTTGGACATTTCTAATATACTGTTTTAGTTTGAAAAAGCTACTATAGTAAATCATAAAGGTATACCTCTGGATAACCATTGTTTTAATCCTATGGCACATCTAGAGTTATATCGTTATAAGCATTAAAAAACTCTTTTTCATATTGACAGCTTAAGCACTTTGATTTATTATACATTTAGCCTGAAAAAAGATCAGTGAAAATCGAATCTTCCCTCTTCTTAAAATATGTCCAATACTCATCTGACTATTTAATGGTTAAAAGAAAAATATAGAATTACAATGAAATTTATGTTGTTTAACATTGTCCTTGGGATCTCAATATCATTTTAAGTTGGTGGCTTTATCTTTATTCTATTCAAATCTTCATGCAAGCACTCAATTAGAAATCTCATAATCTCAAAGGGATCGCTCTATGGCACTCCCACATCCTCTCTAATCCTTCCGAATAAATCACCATATTAAAACTATGGAGCATGCCTATCTATATCAATGATTATTCTTAGGTAGTAGGTTACATATTGCAGCTAGTAAATCAAAAGGAGTCACTGTTTACTTGCTATTTTTATGTAGAATTAACAACCTAATAAAGGGAATCACCATTCTTCCTTTATATCTTGAATGAGTATCGTTGATGTCATTTTTGTAATAATCATTCAGCATGTAGTGAGTTAATGGGTATGTTGCAAATATCAATTACAGTACTGAGTTCCTAAATTAGAAATATAAGATCGACATTTGGAGTGTTAATTTAATATACTTACAAATTATCATTGCTTTAAAAATTCCTAAAAGGACAAATAGCTGTACCCTTACTATAGTCAATCTATCCACTAAATATATCTTTCTGATAGCTAGCCTCATCCAATTAAAGTTACTATCTCATATTTATATCTTCTGTTAATTTCATTTTTTTAATTCCAAAACCCAATTCATCATAATTTCTATTATATCTCTTATCAGCTGGATCATAAGTCAAATCATATTATATCTACCCATTCACCTGGTGATGATTATTATATATCCCTTGATAAAATGGCTAATCTAGTTTCTCAGGTTACTGATTCAGTAATTTTAAAGCCAACTTTTATTCACTCCACTTTTACATTTGAAATCAGTTACTCTTATCTTAATACTGCTGAGGGCTATAGAAATTAGGATTATTAAGAAATGGGTTAAAGTTGTCCTTTAGTATGGTAGAAGCAGTTTGATGATTGCTTCCATATCTTTAAAAATAATCCTTTGGGAGCATGCTTAAGCTACCAGATGTTTTCAATGTCGAAGTAGGATCAATTAAGCTTTAACTGTAAAGTTTTTCATTTGGATCATCTTTTGTAGATCTAAATTCTGATGATATCCGAGGCTTAGCTATTCTTGAATACATATTTGGATCTAAATGGGCTTATCTCTCATATTTGACTATTTGCTTCAGACCTTAGCTAGACTCTAAGTGTGTATTAAAAGGATAGTTAAATTTAAAAGAGGAGCCAGAAGAATTCGTTGGGTTTGAAAGTTAACTCGATTCCATTAAAATACGCAATTATGTTTCGAATTTAAAAAAATAATGATGATATCTAGAATTAAATTTTATAACTTTTCTAAACTAATTTATCAAATTAAATTCATTTTCTGAAGATTTCATTAATTTCTCCAAAAGCAGATTCCTACAATTTATCTACTGACTCTGCTTCATATTTCTACTACTTTTTCTTTTAACCTTTGCTGGCAATACTAATTTGTGACTAACCCTTCAATTACAAATGTTCTTAATTCAATTTAGTCTACTATTCAGCTGCTTGCTTATAGTAATTTTTCTATTCCTGAGTTAATTCTTTCCATAACAAAGCAATTGCCTTAGCTGCTTCAACAACTGTAATATCAGCTTTTTCTCTTCTCAATTAAGAGTATTTTTCTTTATGGAAGGCAATATATGGAGTGACTTTACCTATTTTTTTATTTTAATCAGGACTCTTTTTACTTTAACATTATCTTTTCCCCTTCTTTAATCCTGCTTGACCTTGTTCTAAATTATCTTAATTTTTGATAGCTTAAGCCTAGTCTTGGTAGATTTACCTTTCCTCCTTTGATAGGTCTTTCCATTTTTAACCAATAAACTTAGCGATTTCAATGTGATTAAAACCTGGATTTTCTAATTTAACCTTATGGTAGTGAGCTTTTGTAAACACTGCATAGCTGCTAATAAAATAATTCTTTTTCTTTATATCTTATTGTGAATGAACCTTTTGCTCAGTCATGTTATCTTTCTGAATATCGGGGGCATTAGAATTAGTCTATTTTTATTACACCTCTTTCTTAATCTAGCTTGCTATTTCTTATTTTATTGGAACATTTTGATGAAGAATTGGGTTCATTTATTGAATTTAATTAAATGCATTAGGAATGGGACTGAACTATGAAGACTATGAAAGGCTCATGTATGGGTTTTGAAGTAGGAATGGGACTGAACTATGAAGACTATGAAAGGCTCATGTATGGGTTTTGAAGTAATTACATAAGCATCTGTTACTGTAAAATGCTTTAGTATTAGCTATTTAGCTGGCCAAAGTTGTTCAAATTTCCTAACAATGAGAATTGATTAAAATTCATAGCGTTGCTAAGTGATGATGGCATATGTACATTTTGACTATTTAAAGAGTTTATTTGTTTGTTTTCTGTGTCAATTTATAAATTATCTTGAACTTAAGGAAGGTCTATGACTTTATTTTAGGTTGAGATACTTGATTGAGATTTTTTCCCATTTTTTCTACCGTTGCTCTTTTTGTTTTGAGTTTGAGTGTTTTTCATTTTGAAGTCTGATTGAATGTTATATCTCTCTTCAGAATATCTTCTTAATGTACTTAATTTGCTTATCTCAGGTATAATCCTCAGACTAGAATTAGCTGCTTAACTTTACACTGACTATTCTTTCTCTTTATTGCCAGACTAGCTTTAAAAGATCTTTTTGGATTACTTTATAAGTTTATTAATTATATATTAAATTAATTAAAATGGGAAATAATCACAATAAGTACTTCAACCAAAATAAAAGAAAGGTTTTGATTCTAGGATTATCATCTTCTGGAAAGACGAGTAAGCAAAAATAATAATAGCAGTTACTTAATATCATTATTAGCTCTGCTGAGAATGATTAAAGGAGATGAGAAAGGTAAAGGGTCTCTTCATACTCCTACTGATATGTTTAACAATGAACAAATTAAGATCAAGAAAAATATTGAGCTTGATATTTGGGATTTAGGTGGCAAACTCCCTCATTTATGGGTGCATCATTTCAAGGGCTCCTAAGGAATCATATATATGATAGATGGCGTTAGTACTCTCAATAATGATTAGAAAAAGCAATCTGCTATCTAGGTAAAATACTTTATTCTTAATTTATCATTAGGAATTATTGAATGTATTAGTGGGTAATGCCAATATTCCTATTATTGTTTTTATAAACAATAAAAACAGAAACTTTGCTGAGAATAGCAGCAAGCAGTCTGATTAGAGATGCATAGATGAGGAATGGCTAAAAGATAATGTTTTTGATAAACTTGATAATATACGTAAATATATCCCATTGCTTTAATTTAACACTAATTTAGATAATTATAAGATCAAGATATTAATAGGAAATCTAATAATGGAGAAAGGATTAGATTAGCTCTAGATTAGTAAAGGAGAGACCAATATAATCTATGATTGTGTCAACTACTTGATTGATAATATGAAACCCCTTTGAGAAGAACCACATCTTCCTAAGTTTGCAAGATCAAATATTTATAAGGATTGATAGTAGACTAGACAGTTGTATAAGATAACATGTGACTATGATTATTTTGATTTGTTAATTTATGAAATTAAGTTAAAGTAGTAAAGTATATCACAAGTAGTGGTGGTAGTTAGTTTTAAGTAGTAAGTAATACTGTCTTGTAACAATATTTCCTCTTGAAAATTTGAGTGATAATGCATTTAGACTAATCACTCTAAAAATCTATACTCATTATCTTATTCTTTGCCAAGCATATTTCTAATTTCGAATAATTTTGTCTCTTCATAGACTTTGAACCATTTAAGTATATCGCTAGGTTTGTAAGTACCCTTTTTACTTCCTTGCCAAATTCTTTTCTTTTCAGCCAAACTCTTAATTTGCATGTTAGAGAACTTCATATCATCAATCAATGGTAATTTTTTAATGATAACTGGTTTGAAATCAAAATGGTATCTTCTTTGTTCCTTTTGACGCCTCTGCATCTCTTATTTGATGTGCTCATTTACCTCAGCTTCAACATCATTGACAGGATTGTCTAAATCATGGAAAAATTCTCTATTGAGATGAATCTTGTACTTCATGATTTCTCTTTCAACATCAAATAGACCTAAATCCTTCATTTTACGCTTATGCTCTTCGAATTTCTCGAATTCAGTCATGTCTTTGGTAATTAAACGCTAGTCTCGAGGCTTCTTTCTTCTCTCTGGCTTAACTTTTACTCCGTTTTTGCTTATAAATAGATCATCCATGTTTTAAACTTTCTTTTTGAAGCGAGCTAGTTACCTTTTGTATTCCAGATTCATCATGCCATCAATATAAGTCTAATTACTAGTCTTATCTTAGCTCTCTACTAGGGAAGCTAATGACTTGCTTAGTCCTGGGCCAACACTGTTTTTCAAATTGCTCTCTAGAATTGATCTCACCCTCTCAATCACAATATTTTCATTTTGAATCATTTGGTCAATTTGCTCTGACTCTTTTTCCAACTTTGACTTCTTTTTCTTCTTTAAAACCGATGCTGATTCAATCTTAATGAAGGACCCTTGCTTTATCTGAGATGGATTTGAATTGGCAATCGACTCATTGCTCTACTTAGTAGGACCAATTAGATCACTATCAATCTAAATAGTAACAGGACTAAAAATAAATTATGGATTAATTTAACCTTACTGTAAGTCTTAGTCCATTCTCCACTTAGTTTGCCCTCGATTAAAGGTATTTCCCTTTTTAAGCATATGACTATTTTCCATTTATTTCTATTATTCATCTAGCTCTTACTGTCTAGTTTCCTCTATCTTCCTAAGCAATTCATCTCTTTACTTAAGCTCCTCGATGTTTAGCTATTCATCTGAGAAGTCATCATCATATGAAGAGTCGTCCCCTTCGCTGTCTATATCATATTTTTAGAGTTTCTTCTCTTTTTCCAGCTTCTTCTACATTTTCTTAATCAATCTGTTTTCTCTCTCTTCTCTTTCCTTTAAAATGAGTTCAATATTGCTCTCCTGAACAAGTTTCACTATTTTGGTCTTTTTTTCCTTAGTTTTCTCAAGCCTCTTTTGTCTGCTTTCTGCTTTAAGTCTCCTTTACTCAATTTCAGCAAACTATTCCTTCTCTGATAATATTTTTAGATTAAAGCCTTATTTTTGAGCCAGCTTTTTTGTATCTATTATACTATCCTTAAAGTCTGAATCCTCACTATCAATTTCATACTTCTTTGATTTATCTTCAAAATCCATTGGATTTTTCCACAAAATCTAAGGTGGAGGAATGAACCTTTTTCTTTCCTACTTTTTCTCTATCATCTTTATTTTAGGTTCTGGCTTATTCCTCATCTTCGGCTAGATAACAACCATAACTTACAATTTCTCCTCTTCCTCCAAAAGCTATTTTATTTCTAGGGCTTTCTTTTTGGCTTCTTCATCCTCATCCTCAGATTCTTTTTTCTCAGATATTTCTTCTAAAATTGGTTCTTAATTGTCTGAGGCTTTAATTCTATCGAATAGATACCTCTTAATAATTTTCTCTCTTTCCTCCATACTCAATTTACTGATCTTCTTAAGATCTCCAAAATATTCCCTTAGCTTCACATTCATTTTCATATTATTAATATTGTCAGTATTGTAAAGTAACTTTGGCCCCAATTTTTGAAATAGAGTATCAACTTATCTTCTAATAATGAGATCTTGATCATCCTCATCACCATCGATCTTAGTGTTGTTTTTTACTATTTTTTCAGTGAACGCCTTTGGATCTGATATTTAACCAAATCTTGATGGCATAAATGTGGTATCTTGCTAGATAAGTCTCTCCTTTGTATTAACTAAAGATTTAAGCTATTCAGCTGCACTGGCCATTCCATTTCTCTTGAATATTTCCTTATCACTGGCATCTATTTAAGGCTTTAAGATTACTACTTCGTTATCATATGAATTTCCAATTCTGTAATTCTTATTACCCCCCTTATTTTAATTGATAAAGAAATCCTTCTATTCTGGCATCATCATCATTCCTACATAACCTTCTTTCTTAAATCTTTATTCCTTTTCTCTTTCATAGTCTTCATGAGTTTTCTTCAAGCTTTTAAGTCTTATTTATGGCATTTTACTCTTGATGTCACTCAATGAGTCCATCGTATTTGAGGGTTTACTTTGGCTTTTAAACATGCTTAGCATCATAGAGGGCTTTGAATTTTGATGAGTTCCATTTATTGATGTTGACAAATCATTTTTATTAGTTTGGGTTTGCTGCAATGTATTGTTGAGGCTTATTGTGTTCAAAGTATTCAGCTAAAACATTGTTTTGCTTTAAGTGTTCTACATAGTTGTCTAACCTTTGCTTGCACTAGCATCTAGATACTGAGTATTAAATAGAGAATTCGCTTAGGTACTTCGTTAAGTTTGCCTCATTTCAGTTGTCTGATTTTAGTCAAAGATCATAATCGAATTATTCCCTGATTTTAACTTACTTTTATGGAGAGATGCATTTGGTGAAGGGCTTATCGATACTGTTTTATTGGCATGACCTATGAATGGAAAAATAGGCTAATTATCTAATCCTTAATTTCTGCTCTTATTTTTATGCTCTATTTCTCTAATCTCTTTCTTAATTTTATCTAAATTTTTATCATAATCAAGCCCCCTCATTTCATATAGCTCAGGTGCTTTAATAGGCTGCTACTTTTACTTTTCTTCCTTTTACTTCATTAAATTTTTTAATTTGTAGAGCTATTGAATTTGCATAAGTTTTTAAGGCGTTAGATCTTCATAAGATCTAACTAATTAATTCTTATTTCTATTCTCTTCAAGTTCATCTTCTTCGCTACTAGAGAGTTACTCACCTCTTCGACCGTAGTATTTGTATTCCTTCTTTTCCTCAGATTTTTCTTCCTATTAATCTAACTCTTTTGGAGAAGTAACTTTCTCCTTCTTAAGAATATTTTTATTCTAGAGTGAGATCCCTAGAGATTTTGACAATTTTTCGAATATTTCCAGGCCTTTTTGCTGAGTGTTCATCTTAGATTTCATGGATGTTTGAATACCATTGATAAGTCTATTCTTTCCTTCGTTTTCAATGAGTCTTTTGTGATAAGCTGTCATAGTCGATTAAGATATTTGTTCAGGGTTGTGTTAAATTGGTTTTGGAGGTCTAAAAAATTTCATATAGCTAACTTATCCAGCGCCTTTTCTCACATCTACATAAATCTTTTTCCTCTCTTCTCTAAGTCTTTGCTGAAGCATTTTCTATAGACTAGAGGTCTCAACAACCTATTCCACTTTTTCTTTGGGTGGCTTTTTATATCCCTTTTCGTGTTCTCTTCTGAATACACCTGGCACAAGTGCTGCATATGTCTCTTGATCAAGGTAAGTAGATTGGCCTTCTGTATGCATAATGATCTCCTGCTGAACTACTCTAGCCTTTTAGAGTTTATGCCTGATCTCTTCTGGCTCAATAGATTTGGCAAGCATAAACTTAAGCTAGGCATTCTCCTAATAATTATCACCTTCATATTCCTCCGCGAAGGCTACTCTTTTCGCAGTCTTTGCATTAATCATTTAATTTTATTATCTCTCTTTAAAATCAAAATCCCTATAAGCTCAATAACTCAATCAAACCTACTAAAAAAAATAGGATTTCTATTTTCAATATACTATTAATTTTTATTTGATATGATTTGGCTATTGTAATAAATTTACTCACATGGGGTTTTGGGGTTTTGGGGTTTTGGGG